TGATCCACAGTTCAAAATAATGCTTATGAGCTTTTGGTTTACTTGTGATGCGACAGTAACAGGTCTTCTTTATTCATTTTCCTCATCTACACCCCACCTGGAGTGGGTCTACGCTCCAAGAACCAAAGTTACAACGTGTCACCATTAAGAACAGCTCAAAAGCTTTCTGCTTTTAGCTGAGGTGATAAGTATTACAAAAGGTTTATGAGTATGACATCACTGAGTTTACAATCCAAATGTATAACAAATCGCTGAACGTTACCTCCAATCTTACCGTAAACCAAAGCCAAAAATCAGAAATCATTCTTTAACCTACATAATTTGATGCTTTAAGCCTACCGCATGATGTATTAGGTGAAAAGAGAGATGGCAGACAGACAGACAGAGAGAGACGGAGATGAAGAGCGCTGGAGGAGAGCCCTGTCTCTACATGCACGGCTGGTGGAAAAATGTCTCTCTTAATGGATCCCAGCTTTCTACAGCACTTAGAACAGCCAAGACCCGCCGAGGGAATAAAATATGGCATTATTATTATTATCCTGCAATTATCAATTATCCTCTCTCTCCCTCCCTGCCTAAATTTCACCGTCTCTGTTAGTTTCTAAGCACCGATGCACACGTTCACACGGATTTAAACATGCACACTCAGGCGTTCGGGACTTTCTGTCAGACTGATCCACGTGGGGGCACGTGTTTGGAAGAAATAACTAAGAACATGCGCTCTCCTACAGACAAACCACTGAATCTGCACTTCAAAACTCTGATGGTTGCGCTGCAGTTTAGCTGGTACACGATGACAGCCGGATATGCGCCTTGTTGACTGGTGTTAGCAGAGCCATTTTTTATGTGACAGATGGAAACAGACAACAAAACTCCTTTTTTCTTTTTCCAGTCAGATTCGGACAGACGACTCAAAAACCCCCCAAAAACCAGAAGAGAGATTATGCAATAAATTACAGACAGATTTTTCACTCTAACATCACTTCCTTGATCCTGTGAAGACACACAGTAAATGTCAGACTGTTCTGCTCCATCAGGTCGAAGCTTCTTTTATTTATTTATTTTTCTGGACGTCTGTATCTGCTAGCCTCATCTGTCTCCAGAAAAAAAAAAAAACCTCAGCTCTGTGTAGGCAGCACGCAGTCAGCCCACTCTCACTCTGCAGAGACTGGAAAGAAATACGGGGGTGTTTGCTGGCCATGAGATGTGAAATTCAAGCTTTTATTTTAATCAGACTTTTAATCTGTTACAGCCAAGTTAGGAGCCTGAATAGAAATACGCCCTAAAAAAGCCATCTTTGACTGATTTAGTCCACGACATCACTTGATAAATCACCTAAAGCATTTTGAGTGTTTCTGAATAATGATAAGGCGCTAAAGTTTGCCCTGAAAGCCTTTTCTTGCTATTGTTGTGGTCTTTAGCAGCTGGGATGCAGCCAGCAGTCTGCTTATCAGCACTTAGCGAGGCAGGGTGAGAGAAAACCTGTCCTGAGGGCCAAGCTTTCAGTGCTAAGCC